CATCAACAAACATTTACTTGAACTCGAACCGAACTTTTTGTCAGGTTCGAGTCTGGTTCGAAATTCGAACCGAACTCAAACCAGACTTTTAATTAGGTTCGAATTTTCGAACCGGACTTTTTGTCAGGTTTGAGTTCGGTTCAAGCTCGAACCGAACCAGACTTTTTTTCGGAACCCTAATATGTAATGAATGTGTCTTAACGTAATAGTAATTACAATAATTAATGCCTCTGTATGAGTTACATGATTGTTTATATTTGATAAAGTGACAAATGAAGACATTTCCAAGAGACACCATTAGTAATAATATTTGTAGTAAACTGAGTCCAAATATTATATTTATTATTAAATTCAGGTAGTATATTTTAGATCTATTGAAAAGGACGTGCATTTTTTGCAAGGTTACCAAATCAACCAAACAAATTATTAAAAAAAATATATTTCTTCTATAGCTACTTTTATAGTTAATTGATTCTTCATATCACTGACTGGAACTGGCATCTACCTTACATGAAAATTTATCAGTGATATTAAACCGTAGAAATCATTTATAACGACCGTTTCCTAATCATCATAGTTGTCAAACCATTTGCGACTACGATTTTCCAGAATGTGTTAAGATATCAAGATCTTACCAATTCCACATTTTCCAATCAAGACGATAATGTTGATCTTCCACCAACAGAGATTAATTGCGTTCTGAAACGTCCTATTATGTCGCACCCAAAATTCAAAATAATCATTAGCTAAGTCACACTCTATTTAATATTATTATGAATAACAGCAAGATTTTTGCGATAGTGGCTCACCAAATCTCCAAGTTTTATTCACCTTGTTCTCCTCCTTCGTACAATAATGATGTTTTGCTAAGTTTCCATGAGCTATCTCCTAATGAGTACCGGAAACATTATGCGTACTTGATTCAACTGAAGTGTCCCTGATTCATCTCATTCCGCTTGAGCCACCACAAAATGAAAATGATCCCATCCATTCAGATCAAAAACATCTGTAGAATTATTCAACGTCAGAATTACAAATACCACCAAAATCAAAATATAAAAAAGGTCAAGCAATCTCACTATCCCTCATTTTCAAAACCATTCCTCGATTGTTAGTGAACCAGAGAGGAAATGAATTTAGTAGAATAACATTAGTAACGAAATGCATTTAGTTAATGAATAGAACAAGTAGAAAAAATACTTTTTTGTTCAACATTACGCTTATTACATAATTTCTGACTACCAAGAACATGCCGCCAGCAGCATTACAAAAAAAAACAGCTCTTAGCCAAACTTTCGAGACATCGCAAAGTAATTTTGTAGGTATGCACGAGTGGGTGTAAAAAAGTTGCTTTATATTGAATTATACGTATATGTCATATATTACATATTACACACTCGGAAAATTGATCTCTGTCTACAGCAGCAGATCGGAATACCAGCCACATTATCCCGTGTCAGGTCACATGGGTACAACGCATGACTTTTCTTTTAGCACGACAAATGGAAGTTCTAAATTTCTGATTTATCAGAGATTTGCTATGTTAAGAGGAGCTATGTCTCCAATATACATTTGATTACTCGCACGCAATTAATAAGAATCGATTTCCACGCATATATATAATTTTATTTTACCATATGTAATCTAAAATTTCAAATACTCATAATTATAGTAAGGCTGTTTGAAATTGATAAATTGTTGAACGTCCTCCCCACCCACTTCCCCCGAACATTAAATATCACGTGTGAATTTTTATCCAATTGAAATTTAGCATTTTAGCACAGCATTTTAAGTCAGGATGGTGATTTTTACAGGCTCTTCTCGTGATTTAAGAAGGTTTTTTTTAAAAAGGAGGCAAACAGAATGTCATTTATGTTTTACTAGTCAAGATCAACTTTGAATTGAGTTTGCAAAACTACAATGATGTTTCAATTTGTAACAGTTCTTCGAGAAAGTAAAACACTAAGTCTGATATTATCGGCTTTTCGTAAACGATATGATATTTGTTATTATTGTGATGGATCAGAACCTGAAAAAATGTTTGCTGCTTGGAAAACATGCCCTCTCAAGAATCAATAAACGGGATCAATTCTAATAAGAGAAAGTGGAATGGGGTAACTGTAGTTGATTTGTATTACATAAAATACAGATTATAACTTTATTAGCTCGTCATTTGTTCTTATAACGATAACGATAAGTATAGGAAAATTCAAATCATATCAATATTATTTTATCAATTAATCTATACCAAATAAAATCGCAGTGTTTATTTTTATGTTTGTTTTTTACCCTTGATTTTTTCAAAAAAAGATGTCAAACAATTATTCAAGTTCAAACAAATTATACTAACGATCACCCAAATTTCTATTATAGATTGGTTAGAGTTTCTATATTGGGTTGCCCCAAATACAATAAATCGGTCACTTTAGGACATAATATCTCGACGTCCAGCGAGCCGATTTGAGCGAAAATACTACCATTCGATTTTTCTAATATAAGCGAATCAAATGGTGATATTTTCGCTCAAATTGGGTCACTGGATGTTGAGATCTCGCATCCTAAAGTGACAGATTCATATTTGTCGATCAATTTTTCATCGCCAAACAAATGAATCAGCCGTAATATCTCGATCCGATTCGAACAAAAATAATATCATTCGGTTCGTCTAGGCAAGGCAAATCGAGTGATATTATTTTTGTTCGAATCAGATCACTGGAGGTCGAGATATTACATCTTAAATTGGCTGATCAATTTTGTTAATGTCAAAAAAAACTGAATTGGTTACTTTAAGGCTTAATATTTCGACATCCAGTGATCCGATTTGAACAAAAATACTACAATTCGATTCGTCTAGTCGAGACAAATCGAATAGTATAAATTTGTTCAAATCGGATCATTGGATGTCAAGAATTATATTGAGATGTATCCAATATAGAAGCTCTACCAATCTATAAATTATAAACGATCAGGTGTCGTATTAAATTTTACACCCAGAAAATTTGGGTGATCGTTATAGTATAATTTTGAGCAATACTTATGGTCGCTACTGTATATTCACTACTGCAGAAAATGTTCAGATCATAATACGTATGCTTGTAGCAAATGCACTCACTGTCAAAAAACAAGTACTGCTGGAACTGTTTTGATTATCACAAACGAATTTATCTGAATGTTCTAACGAAAATAAAGATATCGACAATCTAATAAATGAATGTGCAAAGATTGAGAGTTTTTAATATCTTGCAAAGTGAGATTTTTAACAATTTATAAAGCATCGTTGAACTATTAAACGGGTGGAACTAAATTTAAAGCTACATGCCCGGAAAAGGTTGGGTTTAAATAATTACGTGATTCAAAGCAAATCATATCAAAGTTTATAAACGAGGTAAGATGAACCATTTTAATGTGTAGGCAAGTTGTCTTTTGTTTCTAATACAACAAGTTTTTCAAAAATAGATTCTGAGTGCTCTAAAGTACATTGACACCGTACAAATCATAAGTAACCGGCCCCTCCCCCATAACTTTCCAAAAATCATGTCTAATGTTATGAAAATTTCCGGATACAAAGAACATTACAAATGCTGATTTTATAGATTTGTAAAGCTTCTATATCTGGTATTGTATGTTCATAAATTTTCATGCTCTAAATACAATAAATTGGTCACTTTAGGACATAATATCTCGATATTTAGCTATCTAATTTGAGAATACTACCATTCGATTTGCCGAATCTAGGCAAATCAAATGGTGGTATTTTCGCTCAAATTGGATCGAATGTTAAGTAGTCCGCATGAACCAGGTCCGGACCGAGTTCGAGATCGGACTTTAACCGGTTCGTCCCAGAAACCAAGGACCCAGTCCTTTAGCAGCCTTTTCATCTCTGTGATTAATTAGGACTCGGTTCAAAAGACCGGTTCAAGAGACCGGTTCATGGACCGGGTTCATGTCCAAAAATGTAAAATAAACACTAAAGTTGATTTTTTTCCCTTTTCGTCGGAATAGTTGTACTTTGATTAGTTGAAATTATGCTTTGATTAGTTGAATTTATAGAGATACTACGTGGTATGGAAGCAATTAAAGTATTGTCATCAGATTGAGATTCCGATTAATATCAGTTACTTTTTGCATTAGTATCACTATCAGAGTTATTAAACTTTATATTGGCAATGGTTTCTTGGTTATTATCAATATTAACATTTTTGTTGAATGACAGAGTACGTAGTTTGTCGTGTGCTATATCATTTGCATGTTTTTCCAATTGCATGTATTCACGTACACGATTTATGCATTATCGTTATCGTTATCGTTATTAATCGATTCCTATCCCTACCCACAGCAAACCCACGCGCATCTCTTAATACAGGACTGCAGTCTGAGGACCCAGTCCGGGATCGCAGTTCTGAACTCGGTCCTTGAACCAGGTCCGGGACTGATTTGGGACTGCAGTTCAGTTCGTCCAGCTCACAGACTTTGCGGTTCCAGAACCGGACCGGACCAGACCGGACTTTTAACATCCCTATATTTGATGGCTAGTTTTATGGGGGAACGTGGCGGCGGTAATTTTTTGGGCTTGATGGTTGCGGCGGACGTTGACTCTGCATTGCTACTATTGTAATCATTATTGTTAAAATTGTTACGAAGACTGGCTACTCTGCTATACTATTTTCATTGTTGTTATTTATGCCTCTTGATATATAATTAGTAGGCGAGGCTGTGTACGGCGGTAGCACGTCGTCTTCGTGGTCGCATTCTTCTATCTCGTCTACTAATTCTGTGCCGTTTTCGAACTGCCTGATGATCGTGAATTCAACGGTCGTAAAATATATAAAATATGCAATTACTCAAAATAATCCCCCAACCCTCTTACCAATATTACTACATTATGTCGTTTCTCATGTTTTGCTCGTCGTCCAAGCAGCGTCAATACTTCCATCTTTTCCTGAATATCCCCACGTCTCTCATCAAACCCGTCCATGATATCAGAGTTCACATCAAAGTACCGGTCCGGTGTCCACTAATCGGTCCATCTGGTCCAGCAAAAGACCATAGATTTTCAGTTGCATGTGATAGAATTCCTCGAAAACAGGTTCAATGAATTGGGTACGATATTCGAAAAATTGCGGAAGTTCTTTTTTTAAAAGGTTGTTGAAATAATCGTAGTCTTTGTGGCCGTGTCAAGTTGTTCTTTCCAACTTTTCATTATTGATCATTTATTTATTAGAATGTCATTAGAATCAATAAGGTGCCATAAAAATACCTTGTACAAATTTTTCTCATCACTTAACGATTTATCTCGTTTATCGCGAATTTTCCTCACGCTCGACCTATATCTATCGAAATCGATTCTTTAAGTGATATGCCTCCAATATTTACGAGTGAAAAAGACCATTGTAAACCACTTTTGATTATCGTTGTGTGATATTCTATTAATTTATTAGGATCTAACAGCAAATATCTAAGGGGAGTGACAGATATTCTGGGGGGAGGGTGAGGCCAAATCTCAGGTATTAATATATCACACGTGCATGTGTTAAATGAATCTCAGGAGGGGGGGAGGGGTGGGGTGGGGCGGGGTCCCTATAACAAAATGGATATTAGCTAATATCTCACTCCCCTAATGTTCTTTAATTTAGTAAAATATAAAGTACCATTTCTTCTGATAGTGTTTCATCATGAATTTATAGTTTCCTTGTAAGACACTCGATATATTTTTATTCTTATTGATTTCATATGGTGTACTAAATCGGTTTTGCAAAAAATAGTAATGAATATGAATTAAGAAAGGGTGATTTTACCTTCGTTTTGAACATACAAACTGACATTTGTAAAACCTAACGCTAAATATTTCATAATTAATATGAAATTAATTTTGAAGTAAGGATTCGATTTGGATGTATTTTTTGTTCTTTGTAAGTGTATCGGTACGCTCTTTCCGTCATCAACCGTTTATTTTCATCAAACGAAAATGCCAATTACCGTAAAGTTCCGAAAACAAGCAATCCTCTACGTCATCATTTTTAGATCGATTTTTAAGGGGGTTGCTTATTTTCGAGTCTTTCGCAAAACTGTAAATCTCTCGGCAACAAGTTGTCCAAATCGAGCGTGCTATAGCTCTTAGATTCGCCTCAGTGAGACGAACATTTCGGTAGTTGCTTCGTTCGATTTGGAGCACTGGTTGTCGAGTTATTTATAAATAACATTTATTAGTATATATACATATCTATTATATATAGGGGTTGCTTATTCAACTTTTCTAAGACTCTAAAAGCTCAAGAGGGAGGGTTGCTTATTTTCGGGGGTTGCTTACTTTCGGGACTCTACAGTATTCAGTTTGTAATTGGTCACGTAGTCAGAGAATATAAAACTGAATAGTCCCTCAGCTGGTCTGTTTTCTGGATAATAAATTTGCACCAACCAGAAACATTGTTTCTAGATGTCTATTATTATTTCGAACATAATCACAAACCTATACATTTTGAATAAATTTATCGTTCTTCTGGACCATCTTTCTTCATCCCAGCAATAATGATCTTCAAAGGCTCTCTTGCTTCATTGATTGCAGCTCCTAATTCAATGTTTGGGCTTTATCATACTGTCTCTTCGACATCCAACGCATCAGGATGATTGTTGTCAGTTTATTTATTGGCAAATATCTGTCCTATATCTAGCACGATACTATCTACGTCTTGTACTAACCATTGGGAGGGATAGTTCTAAAAAAATTAGTAACGGATAATACTAAATCTTGAAGAGATTGATATTGACACGTAATGGTGATGCTTAATGTGGTGCAAAAAAAAGTCATTATATGGGCGCTGTTCAATAGAAAGAGACAAATCTGATGTGATGCAGCAACCCTATAACAATAAATTACATTTTATAACTTTCGAGAATCCGTTTTTGTACGCCATGACGATGACATGGCCGCACTCAACCCTAACATCCACCCCTCCTCCCATGGCAGGCACACCCAAAAACTTGAGACTAATTACATGTAGTAATTGAGGGGAAATTAATGGCATTTATTATAATGCGTTGTCGGCAGGTATCACAATATTATATAATTAAAGGAACTTCCCCAACATCGCCAACAAAAATTTACGCTCACGTGAGCGCAAACCAATAAGAATGCGCAAATTTTTGGTCAACCCGGCAAAACAAATCCGATACAAGAAAATGAAAAAAAGTGAATAATGTAAAAATACGGAAAACAGATGTCAAATTTTGGCTTGAAGTATTAACAAAAAATGTCGGGAAGATAATTTTACGTATAATCTTATTCTCCACTCTAACCCATACTCTAACCCGGACGATAAATATCCTTTAAGGTTAATTTTTCGTATTCACGTGAGTGTGATTTTTAAATTTATTGGCACTGGTTTCTATCATGCATTCAGGGTGGATAATCAGCCTTTCTAATGATTTTGATCTGTTCTAACCAGCTGGAGGATTTGGTTTAGAACATTCCTGATTTCTGGTTTAAGTCCTCTCTTATAGGTATGCGTTTCGTAATTTACCGGATAATGATCATCAGAATCGATTCTCTTCAAAAGTTGGATGAACTTGGATTTTTATGGATCCCATCTTGTTTCAGAGTTTCAAGTTTCTTCTGCTATTGTTTTATCTTTTGATTCATCTGAAACTTCAAGATAAACCAGTGCTTGAAGTCGTGCTTGTATAATTGATTGGTTCACACAATTAATTAAAGATTGTCATCAGTGTTTCTTTGATCAGATGATGACAGTTTCTTCAAGATAGTCTTGTACAATTGGAATCATTCTTTCATCAGTAATTCTATTAGCTTGGATAGTAATTTTGAACCAGATCTTGATTTTCATCTAGAACTTTTTAGTAAAAATAAGTATTTTTTTCGATCTTTGGGTTAATTCAGCATTTATGATATTGATAAATTCTAGAATCTGGACAAGTTCATTCATATTACTTGTTAGCTTATTGTTTTCTTTGTTCTCTAATTCTAAATTCTTGCTTTTATCCATTCTGGAATTTTCTTCAAATTGCAATATGATTTATTTGTGGTTATCTTTTCTACATATTTTTATATCTAATCTTATTGAAAAAGTAAATATTTTAAATGCTATAGATTTGCTCAATAAAGAAGATAGCAAAATGTAATAGAATTATAAGGTTTAAGAGATTTCAAAAATTTTTTCTATTATATCTTAGAAAAGAATTAGTAAACTAATCTTATTTATTAAATTCTAAGATTTTGTACCAATATCTACAGATATTATTTAATATAATAGTAAAGAGAAAAAAGAGCATGAAATTTTAGATAAATAAATTAAAAGATTTCTAATAAAATTATTTTCTAATACTAATTCTAAACTATTATTTTTTCTATCTAAAAAAGCTTAAATATAAAATTTGTTAATAGGCTTATAACTAATTTAATATTAAAATAATATTTTTTTGAATTAAAAATTCTAATTATAAAATATAAAATTTGTTAATATACTTATAACTAATTTAATATTAAAATAATATTTTTTTGAATCAAAAATTCTAATTATAAAATATAATAATTAATTTAATATAATAAAGATTTATATTCAAAAAAGAATTGTATGCAATTGAATTTTGTAATTTTATTTGATATATTATTGTGATTTAATATTTTATAAAGATGATTATTCTAAATAATTATTATATAAGATTATTATTCTGAATAATTATTCTGAATGATTATTTCAAGTAATTATTTCAATATTTACTTTAAATAATTATTTCAAATAATTATTTCAAGTAATTACTTTAAATGATTATTTTAAGTAATCATTTCAAGTAATTTATCAATTACTTATAAATATTACATATATTTTAACTAAAAAAATAAAATTAATAGTTTATTTTTATTTCTTTTAATAATTCTTTAGATAGTTTTTGATATAATCTCTTATTTTAATTGTAAAATTATTCTTATTATATTTATCTTATAATCTCTCATCTTAATTACAAAGTTATAACTCTTGTATTTAATCTCTTATTATTATTGCAAAATTATAATTATATTATTAAAAGATAATAAAAGTATTAGTATTTAACTTGTTTATAAACTGAACTTTAAAAATACAATTATCTTTAAATATTTCTGATTTATTTTTTCTGTAAAAAGAAAAATTTTAAAGATATTAATAATTAAACTAAGAAATATTTAACAAAACAAATTACTTGATAAATAAATTATTATTTATTTAATCAAACTAAATTCAATATAATTTATCAAAGTTAAAATAAATTAATATCTAAAAAACTTAGAAATAAAATATATTTAAAAGAAAATTTTATCAAAAAATAACTTAAAGAAATTAAAAAGCAATTCATAAATATAGTTAATAAAACTTATCTAAGATATTCAATAACTAAATTAATTAATTAATTTGATAATCTATTAATATTATACTCATATTAGAACAAATAAAAAATTCAAGCATAAATATATAATTTATAATAAGATATTAATAATTTTATAAACAAAAAAAAATTTATTATTAATAATAAACTTTATAAAAATAATTATAATTAAATCTCTTTATATTTATTATTCTTGAAAAAGCAAAATTTGGTAACTATAGAGAAAATATAACTATAAAATAATTTTTTATTATATTTATATATAAATAAAAAAGCAAAATAAAGTGATTATAAAGAAATATAACTATAAATAAACATGATTATAAAGATATTTAATTGTAACTGAATTACAATATTCAAAAAATTAAATTATAATTCAAACTAATATACCAATACTAATTATAAAAGATAATCAAGAAAAAGAAAATAATAAAGAATAAAAATAAGATTTTAACTAGTTATAACTTGTAATAATCAATCAGAGAATTGTAATAGAATTACAACAACCAATTAGAAAATTATAATATAATTGCAACTAATTGCAATTCCTATCACTAGTAAAAAAAAATATTAAAAAATAAATACTGTATAATTTAATCAACT